GGAGCCCTGCCAGCACCCCGGACCTGGCCGGCCCTCACCACCGCCCGCGCTGCCGGCCCTGCCCCCGCGCCCCCGGAGCCCGGCCTCCAGCACCCCCCATCCCCCGCCCCGTCACGCAGGGTCCCGTGGGCAGGGGCCCTCTCCAAAGCTGGCTGAGTCACACTCCCTCCCCAGCTGTGCCACTGGGAAGGAGGGCGGCAGCCTCCCTGAACCTTGGTTTCCCCTTCTGGGCACTGGGGGTCACTGTCGTTCCCACCTGTTTTCTCATCTGGCACACAGGGACAAAGATGGGTCCTCCCTTAAAGGGTCTGGGAAAGACAGCCATTCAGGAGACAGCAGAGGGTCCGCGCCTGCTGGCGGGGTGGATGCGGGGGCTGGGAGCAGGAGGGCTGGGGAGAGGAGGCCGGGCTTCCAGGAGCGCTCTGGGGACTGGGTGGCGGGCTCAGTGGGAGTGTGGCTGCCACAGCAGAGAGGCTGCATCAGTGGCTGGTCTCACAGCAAATTGGGGTGGGGACAGCCTGAGGCTTCAGCCATGGCTGCCCGTGGTGGGACCACAGCCTTGGTCAGCCCTGCCTGGGGGTGGGTCCAGGGCTGTGTGGGTGGTTACAGAGGGGGCTTCTCCCTGCGGGATGGCCCCCAGGCAGGGTTGAGCCATGTGGGGCCCTGGGGCAAGAGGGTGGGGCATCACTGCTTTGCTCTCACCTGGGGGAGGGGCCCCAGACTGCAGAGACAGGGGTGTGTGTGGCAAGACCCCAGCCCAGCCTGGCCCAACCTTGACCTGAACTCCTGACCCCGTTCTAGCCTGGGCTCCGACCCCTGCCCCTGCCCAGTCTAATCCCTGATCCCTGCAGACACGCGACAACCTCAGGTGGGCAGTAGTGTGGGGGGTGATTCAGGGCCCCCTCCCTGCCCAGAGACCCTTGGCCCTGAGGACCTATCTGGGGATACTGGCAGCAGAGCCAAGCCATGAGCTGTTGCCCGCGGGGTCTCCCTAGGTCCACAGCAGCTGTGGGTGGTGAGGGGGTGTGTCAGCCCCTCAGGGAGAGGCCCCTGTAGCAGTGTGGCTTCCTTGGCCTTTTTTCCTCTTTTCTTTCTGTAAACATGAGCATGGCTCAGGCACGCAAACACGCACACACACGTGCACACACGTGCACACACAGGGATAGCCCTGCCCCGGGAGAGACCCAGGTGTTTGTGTGCTATGAGGATGCCGGCGGATTTCCTCACCTGTGCTCAGGTGCACTCGGCGCTTGCTGTGAGCTGGAGCAGGTTGGGGGCTGGCCGAACCAGGGACAGGAGTCTTTCTTCTTGCCTTTTACCCCCGTTTGGGGTTTCCGCCCATTTTCATCCTCCCAGGACCCTGGCGAGAGGCAGAGTGTGAGATGTGGCACCTGCCCTGAGCCTGTAAGCACGGGCCACCACCAGGGTGTGGAGGGCAGGGAAGCGAGGAGCCCCCACCTGTCCCATGTCACAGCCAGAGCCAGCAGCAGTAGAGTTGGCCTCTCCGAATCCAGGGTCCCAGGCCTCGGGCCCTTCCTGCACCCAGACTGAGGCTCCAGGAGCCCAGCCTGCCTGGAGAAGGGGGTGCTGGAGCAGGGGCTAAGGTAAGAGGTGACAGGTTGGGGAGTGGAGGACTGTGTCAGGTGAGGGCCCGTGAGCTGCCCTTTCCTTGGGCAGAGAGGGAGGCAGGGGCTGGAGCAGATAGCAGTGACGGGGTGGGGCTTAGAGTACATCCGCGGCTGGAGGGGTCTGCTCATCACAGGGTCACAGCTGGGTCACATCTTGGGGGCATCTCGTTTATCCCCTCATTGTGCAGATGGGGAAACTGAAGCCCACAGAGGTCAGTGACAAGCCCAAGGTCTCCCAGCCCCTTCGTGGGGTGGGAGGCGGGCTGGGGCCCCTTGGCTGGGACTTTTGGGGCTGTTAGACCTAGAGAGGGAGAGAGGCAGGTACAGAGGTGCTTGTGGCTATCTGTGTGTTGTTCCCTAGCATCCCTCCCGGGGGCCCTGTCACAATGTGACCCCACTCCTGGCCACCTGCGCTGTCACCACGTTGGCATGTGCCTGGCAGCTGGCCCGTTGGCTTGTTTATCTTCTGTGCCTACCCAGCCTGTGAGCATGTGCTGGGGACATCGGTGGCCGGGGGCAGAGACTGACCAGGGCAGGAGGCTTTCTGGGGAAAGCCCAGGAGGCGATCAGGCGTGCCCTGGCTGTGAGTGGGGTCACACCCCTCACACCCTGTACCCCCCGCAGCAGCACTGTGTGCCTGAGCCCCTTTCCCTGAGGACGGGCCACCCCAGAATGACCTGGGCTCATACATTGCACAGCAGCCAAGCATCAGGAGAGAAGGGCGACTGTCCTGGGGGTGGGAGTGGGGTTGGGGTGTCTGCTGGTCACAGGCTGCAGGGGCAGGAGCCAGGCTCAGGGGCTTGGCCTCTGTTGCCGTAGAGGGACCCGTAATCTGCACGATCCTGGGTGTGTGTCTGTGAAATCCCTCTTCCTCTGTCCCTCTCCACCCCATCCTGGTGGCCCTGCGGTGGCTGTCCTATCATCTCAGCAGCCTGGGTCAGTCCTGGCAGAAGCTGCCCTTTTTTGTGCTCCCACATAGGGAAACTGAGGCCTGAGGAGGGTCACTGAGCACGGTCACAGGCAGGGCCCTGGAGAAGCGTCGTCTGTGACTGGAGCTGGGGTGGGCTTACACCCCCTCGCAGGAGGCAGGGGCCTCCAGTGACCCCTTTCTGTTCATTTCCCTCTCCAGACGTGGCCTGCTGCTGACCAGCCTGGGATTTATGGAGAGGGCCTCGGGGGCCAGCTCTGAATACTGCCGTGCCCAACATCGCCACTGCGCCCGCTGCTGAGGAGGCCCCCGCGCCTCTGGCCCTCACCATTGCGCTCGCCCGCCGATGGCCTCTGCTGCCTGGCCCCGGGCCGGCCCCACCGCCTGAGCCCCCTGCCCTGCTCCAGGACTCACTCTACCCCGATGGGGTAACGTGACGCGTGTGAGAGGCCACCTGTCCGCCACGGCCACCACCTGTGACCCCCACCCCAAGGCCACCAGTGTTGGTTCTGTTCAAGTTCATTTTTCCTGTCATCCTTGGGGATTTGGAGCCCACCTTTGAACAAAGGGGGCTGTTCACCTGCCCACCAATGCAGAGAGAGCGTCCCCAGCGGTGGGCACAGCGCTGGACGCTGCTGCGGCGGCGGGTTCACTTTCAGCTCTTAGGTTTTCTTTGCTGAGTTTTTTGGTGGTGGTTATTTTTATGTTTGCCCCCTTATAGTTCTCCAGCTCTGAGAGGCAGGAGCTTGGCGTGGCCCGTTTCTACTTTGGAGGGCTCTTTTGCTACTTTCCTTTTTTAAAGAGTTGGGTTTTCTTTTCTAATTATCCACACCCGGGCAGCTTCTTCCCCCACTCCCAAGTATTTGTACAATATTTGTGCGGGGTGTGGGGGGCGGGTTTTTAAAAAATCTTTTCTCTCTCTTGGACACACACAGGGGTCTCGTGCTCCTCAGTTTTTCGGGGGCTGGTGGGGGCTTCTGTGGTCCGTGTCCCCAGCCCTCTCTGCAGCCCCTCCTTGGCCCGGCCCCTGCCCCGTCCCCAGGAGGAGCCATGGCGCGGATGAACCGCCCGGCCCCGGTGGAGGTGAGCTACAAGAACATGCGCTTCCTCATCACGCACAACCCCACCAATGCCACCCTCAGCAGCTTCATCGAGGTGAGCGCGGGCAGGGTGGGTGGGGGGCATGCTGTCTGGCTGGGGGTTACTGCTGCCAACGACAGTACTGCCCTTGGGACCAAAGCTTAGCTGCTCTGTTGCAGGGTCCTGGAGGGGGACACAGGGACATCCTGGGGACTTGGGTGTGAGGGGTGTTGGGGGGTCAGCTGGGTCCCTGGGGGGGCCCCATGGGGTGGGCTGGTGTGTGATTGGGCAGGACTCTGCACTGTAGGATGGGGGCAGACTAAGGCCACGGTATTAGTGGGCCGGGCTCTGAGCGATCGGTGGGGCCTCTGGGCTGGAACAGCCCGAGCCCTCTGCTGGCCCTTTGGCCTCCATGCAGAGGCTGAGCACGGAGGAGGTGCCCCATGTGGGAAGTGGCCTGGTGACAGGCGGGGGGGTGGCATAGGTGTGAAGGATGGCTCCCCGACCAGCTCAGATCATGAGAAGCCCACAGGCTCTGTGTTGAAATAGGCTGGGCTGGAGCTTCCGGGCTCAGATCTGTGTGTGAGGAGTGACTGGGCAAGCGTCAGAGCTGGCCATGGAGGGGGTGACCACTGTACCTTGGAGAGCCAGCAGGCGGAGATGCCTGCTGCTTGCAGCCCCAGCAGATGCGGCCAAATGCATTTGCAGAGCCTGTGGAGCACGGCCTCCTGTAGGAGCCTTGCCTCTGAAAAGTTCCCTGCCATCTGCAAACCCAGGGTTGTTTGCAGCCTGCCTCCAGGCTGTACAGGGCCATTTCCAGTGCCTGTGACCATGTGTGGCTGTTTGCAGCCCCCGCAGCCGTATGCAGGGCCATTTGTGACCTCAGACTCTCAATCCTTCCCTCTGCAACATGCGATAAGACCCCATGGGCTTGTCAAAATTAAACAAGGATAAGGGTATGAGAGGGCCCTGAAAACTCTAGACGGAGGTAGTGGTCACCTTGAGGGCAGGGTCACACGCTGATCCTGGCCATATGCTGAACCCTGGACCTTGGACACTGAGCTGGGTGTCCTACAGGGGATGGCTGCCCTGCACACCCAGCCGATACCCTTGAGATAACAGCAGGGTCTGAGGAAAGACTGGTGAGCACAGCACTGTGAGTGACTGGGGTCAGGGATCAGTGTGTGACCAGGGCTAGAGTTCAGCATGTGACCAGGGTCAGGGCTCCATCATAACCAAGGTCAGGACCCAGAGTGTGACCATGGTCAGGGCTCAATGTGTGCCCAGGATCAGGGCTTAGTGTATGACCAGAGTCAGAGCTCAGTCCCGGCTGGTGGCAGCTCCCTCTGCTGAGGGCACAAGGGACTCTGAGTGCCCAGCACTTCCTTCCTACTCCCTGCATTCTTAGAATAGTTGGGTTCTAGCCTCGCTGTGGCCAGTGTGCCCGTCACATGACCAGCAAGGCCCAGCAGCTGATTCCTCACCACTCCCAAAATAGCTGTGGGGAGCAGGTGGGGTGGGAGTAGCCCCTGCACGGGGCCCCCAGGGAACGGAGCCCCTCTGCCCCGGGTACGAGTAGCCCTGAGTCTGGCTGCGAACTGCGTGACCTTTTCCCTGGTAGTGTGGGGCTTCCCCGCTGCTGTGCCAGGCTGCCCCTCCCGGCTGCCATCTGAGTGGGGGCCGCCCTCCCTACTCTGAGGCCTCCTGGGCTGGACCCATCCCTGCAGCCCAGGCCAGGAGGGCTGCTCAGATGTGGGGCCCACATGTGGGCTGGGGGGTCCTGTCCCTGCTAGGGTGACCTGGTAGCTTTGTGTGGAAAATGTGGCCTTGCTGGTGAGATCCGGGATCCTGAGCACCACAAGGAGGGAGGTAGCATGCTGGGGAGTCACGGTCGCAGCTGTCGTACTGTGGGTGACAGTGAACATAGGTAGGTAGCCAAGGGACAGGTGCCCCAGAGTGTCAGGTGCCCCACCACCCCATGCCACCCTGGCCCCGGGATCCTGAGCACCACAAGGAGGGAGGTAGCATGCTGGGGAGTCACGGTCGCAGCTGTCGTACTGTGGGTGACAGTGAACATAGGTGGGTAGCCAAGGGACAGGTGCCCCAGAGTGTCAGGTGCCCCACCACCCCATGCCACCCTGGCTGGTCATTGAACCTGAGAGGCCACCATTGTTGTTCACACAGTGTCAGAGCCTTCCTGCCTTGTTGAGGGGGACACAGCCCCACCCTGGGGGCCTGAGGGAACTCAGCTGTACCCTGGGAGCTTGGGTCGGGGGTCCCAACCCATGAACCCTGCCCAGCCCTGCCTCCTCCCCCATCCTATTCTGACAGGACCTGAAGAAATACGGAGCCACCACCGTGGTGCGTGTGTGTGAAGTGACATATGACAAGGCCCCGCTGGAGAAGGATGGCATCACTGTCGTGGTGAGGGCTGCGTGGCACTGGGAACACTGCTGCTGCTGTGGGGGGGTGGGGGGGTGGGCTGGAGCCCCTCTTGGCCTGGGCAGTGGGTTTGGTGCTCTTTGCTGTAAGGCAGGCACGTGTGGCCTCTGTGTGCCACCTGCCACCTCCCAGGCATGCTTGTGCCTGGGCCACTTGTGTGGGCACACCAGGGGGAGGCCATGTTGTCGGGATGTGTGACCTCGAGCGAGCCACCCCCTCTGCACCCTGTTAATCCACCTCTAGAGTGGGCTGGCCTGGCCCATGAGGTGGGGGTTGCACACATGTGCTGCATCAGCCGTGGCTGCCACTCCCGAGAGCTGGGCCTGTGTGTGCCAGGCTGTGCACCACCTGGTGCCACCTGCCTCAGCCTCACGGGTGCCCCTTGTGTGTGGTTCCATCTTGGGAAAACCCAGTTTTGGAGCGAGTGTCCTCCTGGAAGCAGCACTTAGTAATAGCCCCTCTTGCCAGGTGCACTCCTCATCGGGGGCTGACCCTGTGTCCCCTAACAGCCCTGCCTGGTGGCGAATATGGCCCCATTGTACACACGGGGCTGCTGAGGCTCAGTGGCACCTGCCTCGGGTCCCTGAGTGAGCCTGGGGCAGAGCCGGGACCCCACAGGGCTGCGTGTGGGGCTGCCCGGCTCCTCTGCGCCTGGGCCTGTCTCAAGGGCCTCGTCTCCATCTCTTGCTGCCTGGCATCTGGGACCCTGTTGCTGGGCAGCAGCCAGTCCCTGGCAAGCATCTCTGCAGAGGCCATGGGGAGGGACTCTTGGGGCTGTTTCCTTGGCTCTTCTGGCCTTGGGGACTTGAGTCTAGGCTGAGGGTGGGCTGGCTCTCCTGCCATATCCCTGTGGGATGGGCTGTGGCAGCTGGAGCTCCGGAACCAGGCTTGTGGGCACGGAGCGGGCCAGCCGGTGCCCAGCAGCCCCCTGGGCTGCTCCTGGGCCTCGCTCTTCTCTCCTCAGTGCAGAGGACCACAGTCCCGGCTTTGTACCCAGGGACCCCATTTTGGCAGGTGTTACCGTGTTTTGTAACCACGGCTTGGTGGCCTGGGGTGGTGGGAGAGGCCTGGGCTGAATCCCACCTCTGCCCCTTCCCAGCCGTGTGTCCCCACAGGTCAGTCTGAGCCTCAGGTGCCCACCTTAAAATGTGGATGCTTGAAGGGAAGGAGAAAAGTGCGTGTGAGCGCCTCTCAGCACAGGGCGCGTGGGCGGGCCTCTTTCCTTTCGCTGCTGCAGCAGGAGGGACTTGGGTTAGACTTAAGGCAGCCCTGCAGAGCGGGTGCCCCCAGGAGTTGCCCTTCCTGGAGGCCGGGGAGGGGATGAGATGACCCCGAGGGCTGCCTTCGGTCAGCCTCAGTGGGCCCATGTGGATTCACCCCTGGTACCACATGGCACACATTCCGGGGCAGGCCCTTCGCTCCACGTGAAACCACCTCACCAAGACTTCAGTGTCTCCATCCTCACCGTGGCATGCCCCAGCCTGGGCCCTTCCCTGCAGACGCGCCTCACCTTTCCAGGGTGCTGGGGGACGGTGGGGGCACAGCTAATTTTCCAAAACAAAATTAACCCTTAGGAATGACTGTAAAGGCCCAGGTGTAACCGACTGTTCAGAGTCCAGCTCCTAGGAATTTGGGCCTCGACTACAGCCCTGTCTTTATTCCTTCCCGGTAACTGGGCTGTGTGACTGTGCTGGGGACTGGGGACACAGGCATGTGGCAGTCATGTTTGTGTGTTTGCATAGGGGACAAGACCCCTTGGTCCCGCTGACCCAAAACTTCTCAGGCTTCCACTGGCACACAGTTGGGAGGGAGTGTGACCCCAGAACCACAGCTTGGGCTGATGGGGTTGGGGGGAGTAGGGTTCATGGCGCTCCTGAGGAGACTACTCAGAAAGGGGCAGGGGTCCTGGAAGTCTTCCTGGAGGAGGGGACAGCTAAAGAGAGCAGGAAATGAAGAGGTGGCTGAGCCACTCAGAGTGGGTGCTCATGGCCAAGCCATGCCCCTCCCACGTGCCCCTCCTGCGTGCCCTCTGGGGACTGCTGCCCCCAGCCTGGCTGGCTCGTGCCACCATCTGCCTCTCTCGGAGTGCCCTGTCCTTGTCCAAGCCTGTCAGCAGACCAGCCTGAGCCCCAGGGCCACCTCTCCGCTCCACATCTGGGTTGGGGGTCCTCATGACTGCTTCCCTCTGCAGGACTGGCCGTTTGATGATGGGGCGCCCCCGCCCGGGAAGGTGGTGGAGGACTGGCTGAGCCTGCTGAAGGCCAAGTTCTGCGAGGACCCCGGCAGCTGTGTGGCGGTGCACTGCGTGGCGGGCCTGGGACGGTGAGCTGGGGTGGGGGGCGCTGTTGCTGGGAACTCGACTCGAGTTTGGGAATCTTGTGGTCTGACTTTCCTGCTTTCGGGTCTGGGTCCTGAGCATACATCCATGTGAGCTTCCCAGAGGGTGGATGCCCCAGGTTTGGGGGTTCCCAGACAAATCTCACAGCCTTTCAGGGAGGAAGTCCTTCCCAAAGTCTGACCTGGTTCCCTCCTGCTGTGGTTAAACCGTCCCTGCACCTTGTGTGGGAAAGGAGCTGCCTCTCCACTCCTCCCCAGCCACAAAGACCCCCGGCCTCAACCCGGCCTTGGACCCCTGCTTGAAGGTGGAACAGCAGCCTGTATTTGATTGACATGATCCAGGCAGTGGGATCCCCATTTGCAGCGGGAAGACCAGCCGAGTGGGGTTGACAGCCAGCACGTACCAAGCTCTTATCCCTAGCCAGACCCCACTGAGCACTTTACCTGTGCGCCCATTTAATCCTCCCGCCAACACATTTTACACACAAGGAGCCTGAGGCACAGAGAGGTTGCCTGAACTACCCAAGGTTGCCCAGCAGGGATGGGAGGGAGCTGGGATTTGGACAGGAAGTTGGGCTGGGCTCCGAGTCTGTGCCCTCCACGGGGGCAGCAGGGGAAGTCTAGGCCCCCCATGCCCTGTGTCTTCGGCAGGTGGCCAGTCAGGGGAGGGTCGGGGTGTGGAAGCTCAGGTGACCCCAGCTCTGCCGTCTGCCTGTAGGGCTCCGGTCCTCGTGGCACTGGCCCTCATCGAGAGCGGGATGAAGTATGAGGACGCCATCCAGTTCATCCGACAGTGAGTGGCCGGCCAGTGGGGGGCAGTCAGCAAGCGCTCGAGGGTCTGGGGGCGAGGATCCAGGCTGCCCAGGATCAGGGCCGGGCCTGCCCCGGGCCTGCTCAGCCCTCTTTCCCCCAACACTCTGACTCTTGGTTGTGATGCCCTTGGCCGAGGCTGCAGCAGCAGGCAGCCCAGACCCCAGTGCCTGATCCAGCTGCTGTCTTGGGGCTGGAAGCACCTCACTTCCCTCCATGACCCCGATGGCCCCGCTGCCCTGTGCCAGGCTCTGAGCTTTGCCTCTGTCTTCAGTCCCCCTGGTGTACAACCACCAGAATCCCATTTTACAGATGAGGAAGCGGAGGCTCAGGGAAGGGTGTGACTTGGCCAGGGTTGCACAGTGAGTTCTGTGCGCAGCCCCTCCCGGGAAGGGTTGGGCTCCTCCTCCTCCCAGGCTTCACCCTTGTTTCCCTCCAGGGGCTCATGGCCTGGGGGTGGGGTCGTACCCAGCTGGGTAAGCACAGGGGCTGTGGGAGCCCAGGGAAGTCAGCCCGGAGGAGGTGACACCTGGGTGAGTTTGGAAGATAAGCAGGGGTGAGCCGCGGGTGATCAGGGAAGGGTGATTCTGGCAGCAGGAACAGCCCAGGAGAAGGCTGGAGGTAGGAAGGGCCTGCTGCAGCCCCCATGCACTCTGGGGCTTTGAGCTCTCTGGGGCAGGAGAGGTGGCCAAGCCAGGGCCCTGGATGATCCCTATCCCTGTCCACATCTTCCCAGGAAGCGTCGTGGAGCCATCAACAGCAAACAGCTCACCTACCTGGAAAAATACCGGCCTAAACAGAGACTACGGTTCAAAGACCCCCACACGCACAAGACCAAATGCTGTGTCATGTAGCTCAGGATCTCGGCCAGGCCTGGGCCCACGGTGGCCCGGCCAGCCACCCCACCCAGCAGGGGCTCCGTGCCTGGGCTGGCCTCCGTCTCTGGCACTTGTGTCCAAGAAGCCCGCCCGGCCCTGGTGCCCTCTGCTTCCTGCCTCTCTGTACCTGTCTCTGTCTCTTCTGCTGTCTCTCTGAGGCTAGTTGGGGGCCCCCTTCCCTGGACCTCCTGCCACCGCCTCCGACACCACCCCCAGGCAGGTCTCCTCTCTGGCCTGTTTATTGTGGGGCCGGAGTGTATTTTTTTAACTGCTGGGCCCAGTCCTTCCTCTGTGGCCCCTGGCCTTGGCTTGTTTTTGGCACCTTAAATTATCGGATCCAGGGCAGGCAGATGTTCCGTGCTCCCACACACCCTGCCCAGTGAGGGGCTCAGGCAGAGGAGAGGTCGGCGGCAGGTGCCTGTGGAGGCGACGGGATGGGGAATGTGAAATGGCAGAATGCCCCCAAAGCCCCTTCCCAGGTGGCTCCACTTTAGAGACCGACTGAGGGACAAGGCGGGGCTGTAGAGCCTAGCCACCCTGGCTCCTGGGTGGAGAGGGGCTGCAGCCCTGCCACATGGTCATTTGCTCCTTTCCTTGAACACATTTGTGAATTCAAGCAAATCTGATACCTGTTTGGTAAAGGTCACTGTAGTTTTTCAACCCACCATCCAGGTTTTGGGGCCTCCTCTGTGCTGGCCCTGGGCAGCCATGTCTATGTCCCGAGAGGCTCACGGCCAGCCTGCGACATTTGGTACACCCGGGCAGAGCGCTTCTTGGACTGAGTTGCCTGCTACAGTTTTTGGGGTTGGCGCATCAGCAGGCGAGGCTGGGTCATCAGCATCGCCCCCGTGCAGGACAGAGTGGGGTTCACTCGGGAGTTATTCTGGGCCTTGTGTCCTGTGGGGTGGCCTCCCTGTCCCACCCCAACCAGATGTCCTCATTTTAGCCTTAGATGCCCAGGGAAGGGAGCCAGTGCTGGTGGAATGTATTTCAGACATGTAGCGGTCACGGCCAGGGTGGAGGGAAGCCCAGGGCAGGAGGCGAGGCGGGGGTGCCTGCCTGAGGCCATGGATTGTCACATGCACATACACCGGTGTGTGGGTTTCCAAGTTGGGGGCCGGCCCCTACGGGCCCAGAAAAGAGGTGTGAGGAGGGTGGGGCCACAGTGGGGGAGGGTGGGTGCAGGGCTGGCCTGGCTGGCGGTGTGCAGCGAGGCTGGGGAGTGGCCTCTGCCCCAGTGCCATCCCCTTGCACAGTCGCCCACCTCAGGACAGCACCCAGAAGCCTTTACTGACCCCTTGCTCCGGTCACTGCCCCGGGTGACGGGGAGTGCTGGCTGCCACCCATCTGCCTCTGCCTGCCCGGCCTCAGCCCCTCCCTTGGCAGTGCCCCCACCTGGCCTGCCCACACCACTGGGGGACAGGGCTGCGGGCTGGGGCGGCTGCCCTCTCACTGCACAACTGAGATTTCTGAGATCCCAGGAGTCACCGTTTCTCCTTTTCCAGGTGAGGAAGTGGGCCCAGGTGGCACAGCGAGGCCTGGCCAGAGGCTCCTTCCCCTCGTTCCGCCCGTCCTGCCTCCACTCTCAGTGCATGGGCCTGCGGCGGCTGGATGGGCTGTCCTCTCTGGGTCCTGGGAGGGGGCCACAGGGGACACAGGCCCCATTCTCTCTGTCCCCTGGCATCGAACTGCTATTACCATTGGTGCCGTTAATTAAGCACCTACTGTATGCCGGGCTTGGGGAGCCTGCTTGTCTTCCAGCGACACTGCCGGGTGGGAGTTAGGCCCCTCCCCATTTCCAGATGAGGAAACAGACTCAGAGCCTGAGAGGCTTGTCCAGAGTCACGGTCAGCTCCGGGAATCCATCAAGTCCGGGCCCACCCAGCTCCAAGGTTTTACTAAATGTGACTTTCCAGAAGGGATAATGAACTGCTGGGAGCCTGGAGCATGGGCCCGCTGCCCGCTGCTCAGAGGGGTCCGGGGGGCAGCTCGGGACACAGCACTGGCACCCGCTGCTCCCACACACCCTGCCCAGTGAGGGGCTCAGGCAGAGGAGAGGTCGGCGGCAGGTGCCTGTGGAGGCGACGGGATGGGGAATGTGAAATGGCAGAATGCCCCCAAAGCCCCTTCCCAGGTGGCTCCACTTTAGAGACCGACTGAGGGACAAGGCGGGGCTGTAGAGCCTAGCCACCCTGGCTCCTGGGTGGAGAGGGGCTGCAGCCCTGCCACATGGTCATTTGCTCCTTTCCTTGAACACATTTGTGAATTCAAGCAAATCTGATACCTGTTTGGTAAAGGTCACTGTAGTTTTTCAACCCACCATCCAGGTTTTGGGGCCTCCTCTGTGCTGGCCCTGGGCAGCCATGTCTATGTCCCGAGAGGCTCACAGTGTAGTGGGGTTGGGGGGTGGGGTAAGACGGGCTAGGAACCCATCTGGTGCAAGGTAGAGGTGCTCAGCCTGCAGAGGGGCTGTGAGGGGCTGGGCTGGGGGTCTCTGTCCAGCAGGGGCCGTGGAAGCAGGGCCTTTGAGAATGGACAGTGTGGAAGTCCTGAGGGCGGTAGGTGCCTGAGCCAAGCTGTGGATGAAGGTCAGTGGGCCCACAAGAGGAAGGGCAGGTGGGCAGATTTGGCTGGAGCATCCCGTGGGAGGGGCGGTGGCTGGCCTGGCCAGGTTGGAGAGAGGTGGCCTGGGGCCAAGGCTGCAGGGAGAGCTCTGGCAGGGAGGGTCTCTCTAGGTGTTCAGTGGACCCACGGGCAAGGGAAGGCCCATCTGCCCATATCACACGTGGGAAAACTGAGGCTGAGAGGGGGTAGGACTTGGACCCCTGGTGAGGTGGGTCCGCAGGTGGCTCTCTGGGGGTTGGGGGACCCTCCTGTGGACTCAGCCCCTCAATAAGTCTTGGGAGGAAGGTCTTGCTACACGTTCTGCAGATGGAACAGCTGAGGCTCAGAGAGCTGAGACCCTTGCCTCAGCAGGCTGGTTCTGCTGCCAACCCTGACTGGACTAAGGAGGATAGCGGTGGGGGTGGAGGGACACATGGGGCCCCAGGCTGAGGCAGGCAGGCCGAGGGAGCCCTTCGCCACCAGCGTCGCCTCAGCCACTGCAGAGCTCTGTGCTGGGGACAGACTGAAGGCTGCGGGCACCTTGGTCAACGGCCCTGTCAGAACTCTCCCGGCACCCTCCCAGTGCCCGTGTCCCGGGGGTTCAGGTCCCGAGGAGTCACCCCGCATTGGGAGCGGAGGGGCTGCCATTTGCAGGCCGCAGACTTTACAGTGTGTCTCTGCCCCTGGGCCTGGCCCCATCCCCGAGTCCTGCCAGTGTCTCCTGGGGCTTGGCTCAGTCAGTGGAGGGGCCCGCGGAGATGGTGGGCAGGGAGCCGACAGATGTAACCCTCCTTTGTTGAATCTAGATCTTTCTTTCGAATGGAAAAATGTTAAGCAACAAAGCTCCAGGTGGACAGACTGGGCAGGGCTGACCACAAGGGGGTATGGGGGGGACAGCTGGAGGTCACTGCTGGGGTCTTGCTGACACCTCCCGAAGGAAGGAGAGCTGCCTGGTGGCGAACTCCCGGATGCCGGGTTCTAGGTCTTTTCTGAGATCTTCAAAAGCTCCAGAGAGGAGGGACAGACAGATCAGGGTGTCCCCTGCCTGGGAGCAGCCCCTCACTGCATCCTGGGGGTGGCGGGGGAGGCGAGCAGGGGAGAGCTGCCTGGTGGCGAACTCCCGGATGCCGGGTTCTAGGTCTTTTCTGAGATCTTCAAAAGCTCCAGAGAGGAGGGACAGACAGATCAGGGTGTCCCCTGCCTGGGAGCAGCCCCTCACTGCATCCTGGGGGTGGCGGGGGAGGCGAGCAGGGTGGTGGCCAGACCCCACCTCCTCTGACTGCCGGCCTGGGATGCTTCCCTTCATCTTTCGCGGTCCCCACCCACTCCCAGGTCACTTATTTTAGTGGTGCCTAGAGGCAGCTGTGCTGTGGGTGTGCCCCACTCACAGCACTCGGTGGTGGCCAGACCCCACCTCCTCTGACTGCCGGCCTGGGATGCTTCCCTTCATCTTTCGCAGTCCCCACCCACTCCCAGGTCACTTATTTTAGTGGTGCCTAGAGGCAGCTGTGCTGTGGGTGTGCCCCACTCACAGCACTTTGACAGGGGTCTGCGCAGGGAATGGTGAACCTCAACCTCCACACACAGGGGCTGGTGCTCAGGAGGCCTGGGTCCCTGTCCTGATGCTGACACTGGGTTGGGGAGGTGCGGGAGATTCCTCTATTCCTCTGGGGCCTCAGTCTTGCCATTTGTGAAATGGGTCTTGCAGTGCTAGAGCTGCGGTGGGAGGGTGTGGACTGGGGGGAGGGCCAGGGGCCAGGGAGCTGCTTACTGCAGAACAGCAGTTTTGTGTCGACATCGCTCACCATCTGGGACACGGCCTGGGGGTGGTAGCAGATGGTATAACCTGTGCGACAGACCGGGGAGCATCTGGCTGGTGGGTGGGGGCTCCCCATCTCCTTGGGGGCTCAGACCCACTCCTGCCCCGCCTCACACAACCCCTTTGAGCATCTGGCTGGTGGGTGGGGGCTCCCCATCTCCTTGGGGGCTCAGACCCACTCCTGCCCTGCCTCACACAACCCGTGGTAGCAGATGGTATAACCTGTGCGACAGACCGGGGAGCATCTGGCTGGTGGGTGGGGGCTCCCCATCTCCTTGGGGGCTCAGACCCACTCCTGCCCCGCCTCACACAACCCCTTTCTTCTCTTACTGGTGGATGGTCAGGGCAGGTGAGGGTCAGGGGTGTCAGGTGGGGGCAGGCCTTGGGGGGTAGATCTCCAAGCCCAGCCTTGCCCTCTGCCCACCTATGAAGAGTGCTGCCCAGGTCTTGATGTAGCGGTGGCAGCTATGCAGGTAGCTGAGGGCCTGTGCCAAGTGGATGCTGAACTCTTCCTGGCTATGGGTCATCTGGCGGGAGGAGAGCACACGTGTCATGGGCTGGGGCCAGGGCTGGCCCTGGAGGGACCACTGACCCTCAGCCCTCGCCCCGTGTCACCTGGCTCTAGGGGCTGCCACAGCAGCTGTCTGAGACACGGGAGTAGGTTGCGAGCCTGGCCCCCACCACCCTGCCTCCCCTCTTCTGCTGCAGCCATGTCCCCCACGCCCCCCACCACGGCCCTCACCAGGCAGGTCCAGAGGAAGTGGCGGGCGCTGAGGCCTCTCTCCCAGGCCAGTGAGCAGAAGAGGGTGTGCTGCAGCCCCCAGCGCAGCAGCACAGCACAGCGGTAGAAGGCGAACTTGGCCTGCTGCGGGGACAGCCAGGGAGGGGTCATGCACCATGCCGTGTCTCTGAGCCCAAGGTCTGCATCTTTGCCCTGCAGACCATAGGCTTCGGGGGGCATCTGAGGCAGCCTACTGTGCCGGGCTGTGGTGCTCCCCAGCTCCTTCCTGTCTCCCCCTTGGGAAGCCCCCTGGGAAGCCGCCTGCCACCTGGCTGCAGCACCCGTGCCCCAGGCTGGACTGCAGGCAGCTCTTCTCTGTTTGTTCTGGAACGGGCTGGTGAACTGTCTATTTCCCTAATGGCAGGGAGCCCTGTGAAGGCCGAGCTGTGTCATAATGTTCTCTGCACGGGGCATGCACTGGCACAGCCTGAACCCTACCACGTGCCAGACGCTGGGGCCACAGCAGTGAGCAGGACAGACTGGGTCCTGCCACACAGACAGCACGGCCCTGCTTGTGTGTGTGCGTGTGTGTGTGCACTCGGGACGGGGGCAGACCGAATGTGGTCAGGGAAATCAGTGCAGGTGGCCAGACCCTCCTCTCACCCACCTGCTGCCCCACAGAGCATCCCTCCCTCAGACAGCCACACTGCCATCTGCCTGCCCCGTCACCTGGCCACCTGTGTGCCTGGCCAAGGTGAAGGCCTATCGGCCTGTCTTTCCTGTGGTGAGCACTGACCGTGGCAACAGCGGGGCATCGGTCCTTCAGGTGCAGGAGCAGGGGCAGCAGGCTTTGGTGCACCTGGGTTCTCAGGCCGCTTAGCTCCCTGCGTGATATCGTTGCCACCAGGTCCCCGAACAGTGCCATAGCTGCCGCCCGAATCCCGTCCCGCTCCTGGAAGGCAGGGGCTCAGAGCCACAGCCAGACCTGCCTGGGGGTCCCAGCTTTTACCCGACTTGGGACGCTCCACCCTGTTCTGGGGATGAGGCTCAGTTCCCTCAGCAGGATCCTTTCAGTCAGGCTTGGGACACCCAGGGCAGGGCCGTGCCTCCGTCCTCAGACAGGGCTCCCAGGGCAGGGCCGTGCCTCCCCCCTCAGACAGGGCTCCTGGGCCGGGTACTAGGCCGTCCTCAAGGACATACAGTCATTTCTCTCATACCCACAATCGCTCCTGACAACCCAGGCATCACGCACACCGTTGAGGGGCGGACTTAGCCCCCTGTTATCCCAGTGAAGGGAAAGCAGTCATCCTAAACATGACGTGTGCCAAAGTCAAAAGATCTGTGGGGTCAGCTGTGGGACGAGACCGGTGGGGTTGGGGACACTGAACGTTGGCACTTGGTCAGCCACGGGAGAAGGGGCCGAGCGCCCCTGGCAGGTGGACGCCCCCCTGGCTAGGCCTGGCTGGGCCCCCTGCGCCGGGGCGCACAGCCCGGCGGCTGCCCTGGGTTCCGGTCTCTGCGCCCCCGTCGGAGGGCAGCGGGGGAAGGGAGCGCGGGGAAGGCGCAGGCAGGGACCGAGCAGAGGACACCCCGCCCCTCCCGGTGCGCTCACGTCGTCGAAGAAGGATCGCGCGCTGACAGCGATGCGCATGCTGTGCGCGCCCGCGCCCTGCGTCCCCAGGCGGTGCAGCACGTCCGAGACGGTGCCCATGACGCGCAAGACCACCGGCTCGCTGTCCTGGAAGAAGCCTCCGAGGAAGGGCGGCAGCTGCCCGCGGAGCAGGCTTCCCTGGGGGCGGCGGGGACGGTGGGCGGAGGACGCCGGGAACACCGTCCCCCGCCCGCCCTGGGCACTTGCAGGACACCTGCTTGCACCCCGGCCTTGCCCCGCGCTCGCCCCGGCCGCGGCTGGGGGAGGCTCAGAGTTGCCGCAGGCCTGGCGCTGCCAACCGTGGGGAAGTGTGCCCGCCAGGAGCCGTGCGGCCCGGGTACGGCTTCA